GACGCAGAGATCGATCTCGTGTTTATTGCAAAGGGCTTTCGACTTCTGCGCTACACATGCCCCTGAAATCCGAGTGCTAAAACTCAGAAAATACTCAGTTTTTATCCTTGAGGGTTTTTAAAACTGTAACGTAATAATGTCATTTGTTTTTTGATTAATGTTGGATAATAATGAGGTGTCGGGTCACATAAAAATATTTGCTAATAAAGATTTAGAAGCTTTGTTTCAGTTCACAGGGCTCTTATAACTATTTATTACAAATATGAAAATTTAATTTATTAGTTACAATCCTCAATGGCAGCCCTAAGGTATTCGCTCACTTCTTAAAAAGGCTTCCTATTTAGCATGACCTTAAAAAAAACTTGTCAATTGATTACTTTCGATAGAAAACACTAAAGAGATGGCAGAGTGCAAAGAAGAAGAGCGGGAAAAATATGGATGGTCCGGTTTATGTTCGATCATAACGTTACGTATCGTCATCGTTATAACATAGATTACGCATCGCCACATCGTATCTTATTCACTCTCGATCGGAACCATTCAGATGAACGAAGAGAAGAGTGTGAAAATATGATATGAATTATAAGAGTGCAAAGACATAAAGAAAGTTGAGAAATGGTGCACTGAGATGTAAACACATAATATTTCGTCTTTTAAATACAATCAATGAGGTCACTTAGTCTTATGATAAGCTATCAACTGCCCATACGTCAACATCACTAGTGAAGTAATCAGTAGTGCCTGAGACAACCAGCGAACTTTGAATTATGGATTTTTTTACGAACTTCAACTAAATCTCTATGCAAATTAACTTAGAACTCCTCTCTACCGTCTGGCTTTGGTTAGAGACACAGAGGACTCAAAGGTTGTCATGAAAAGTGTATATGATTTTTTGTACTTTTTATAGCTTGAATTAGTTTTATGAAGAATGACCGGTGATACACCAAGCAATAGCCTGCTGTTAACAATCGAAGGTGAAAGATGAAAGTAATGAGGACATGAAGTTCGTAGAAATAGCAAGACATCCGTTGTTTTTTTCCTTTCTTTTGGTTTTTCTTTCGCCTTTACAAACTTCACTCGCATACGATCTCTTCACCGGCAAATCGTTTTAATTAAAGCGCACGCAACTCGTTTGATTTCACAGTTTACTGCGTCTTGGATCGTAACAAAGATGGCTGGCTCCTTTCTCAAGGAGACAACATTGTTAGTTGACGGCTGGCCAAACTACTTGAACTCAATGGGCTTATGGGAATAAAATGTAACACACTTGTACTCTTTGGTAGCTGACTAAGTTGCTTGCACCAAAGAAAGAGTGCTAGGTGCCAGGGGGCCCAGTGATAGTCATGCTGTTCAGAAAGGGCAAAGCCATTCATGATTAGACTCCACTCCGGGTCGACCAAGCCCTCTCACTCGCTGGTGCCATAAAGTTGATCCCAGAGTCGTTGAACGTCGTTCCATTTTGTAAACTTTGCAGACAAAAGTGCTGCCAGGTTGGTCGGAAGCTCTCACTGCTACCATTCGGGCCGCTATCGTATCTATGGAAATAAATGCCTGCTTGAAAGTCTGCAGTTAAAGCACTGGATTACTGTATTTGCAGCATTTAGACTGCCAAGCGTACTGATCAGGAGGTGGTCTGGATCATAGGACACACTATGAGTTTAACTTCTGAATCTCTTCTCCAGAGAATTTCTCGATAGCTACAATTTTGCAAGTGAGAGAGGAAAATTAATGAATTCAGCTCTATCTTTCTAGAATTTGCAGATATCGCTCTCGTAGTTGACTTCCTCACCGTGGACTATAGGTTTTCGTGGACACCGAGCTGTGACGTACTACGAAAGCCCATCTTCCAGGAGAATCCCCAGGATGAGAAAAAGTCGTGCATTCATACCAAGACCAGCTAAAAGCATGATACGAAATAATCTTACCAGATGCCAGCGAGTATGTTCTTGTGAAACTCGCGAAAACATTTGAAAACAAAGAGCTTGAAATCAAAAGTTTCATGATCTTCGCCTGCACTGAGCGAGCGGAACCCACTGAACGGGTCTGACGCGGACGAACGGGGTTTGCTTCTGTACGGCCCATATAGCCAAAACAAACAGTATTACAGGTAGCGCAAGTACTATTTAAAACAGAACAAGTTATTACTGTGGGTCAGCATAACGCAGTGGTTAGACGCGTCCTGCGATACAAAAGTGGTCTATAGTTCGATGCCTATCCACAAGCTCGCCAAGTGTACCATCCGTCTATGCTGAAAAGAGGTAATAGACTTGTCTGGGAGGATAAGAATTAGTTTGCTGCATTCGTATGCCATCCTATTCAGCAGATATGCATTCAACCGTCTCTGTTATGCTGCAAATCTAGTAGAGGGATTAGCACATGCGTTGAGAATTGCTGAAAACGCCGAACACTTTATCATTTATCTCTTTTACAAGCTATAAATTATTATTTTACAAGTAATCGAAGTCAAAATAAAAATAATAAAAAAACAAACTGCAAAGAAAGAAATGTGGAGCTGACGGTACTGGTTTTGGCTGATGAAACGATGGAATGAAGTCATTGTGACGTGATGGAAGAAAAGAATGAACGGGCGATCTCGCGGCTTTTTTCCCGCCACATCAGCTTTTGCTACATAAATTGATGCTGGACATGCAAAGAACACCTGCGAAAAAATTATAACGGAGATCGAATGAGATTATAAAGAAAATAACAAGGACAGAAACGTGAAGAACGGACAAGACGACCGAACGAAGACTACGGCGATGAGTTCTTGATAAAATCAATGAGAGAAGGAGGATTTTCGATGCTTTCATAGAGGAAGACTACTGATAGATCACTTTTACAAGAGTGACTCGGTTTAACGCCTTATTTTACTTTATAAATGAACCGGGTAGAAACCGTCATCAAAATCATGCATGCTTATTTGAATGGTCATTTTGGAAGTTTAGGATCATTAATCAATCTTCTAAAACTTTGAGAAGCGCACTTGCTGAATTACCCCGAGCCAGGAACTTCGTCTTCTTTAGAGGTTGGACCTACTTTGTGTAACTCTATTCCTATTTTTGGCGTTTCTTTTACTTTACACAATCTGTTTTAACATTTATCGCGCGGACTCTAGCAAATTTTGTACTGGATTCCTTTCTGCCCTACGACCAACCGACCATCGACCATCGACGAAGGTCTTTGAGATTTTCGTGATTGGGTTCGGCTGTTGCTTAAGGAATATCATTATCGTCATGAATATCGTTAAATTCTGGTAGAGCCTACTCTTCTTAGAGTCCTGCATTTGCCTGGGTAGTGCGTCCCCATTTCGATTGCAGAGAGTGAACTGTTCCCAGACAAGTCTGGTGGCAAATTCCAGACCTCGGAGTGATGAGAGGCCTCGTGATCCGAAGGCGTGACCGAACCTGCACTCTTTTCATATAATTCGGTGAATGTTCTATGGTATTCATAAACACGTAATGTACAAAGGATAAAAGGATAATGCTCTCGACGTTGATCAATCCCTGAGGGATGCGAGATGCATTCGATTTCATTAGGCATCGTTGGAGGTGATCGAATGCAAATCTGGCCTCTACAATTACTCGCAGTGGCCTGCCGATGTGTCGAGCCAGTGCTGCTATCTTCCCAGACAAGTCCTGTACCAGTTTGCCGAACCCGGAGGAATGGAAGGCTTGATGAACCACGGACGGGAGGATCGATCCCATGTGTGTGTCGCAGGGTGCCTCCTACCAATGCGCCCTTAGTTTAGAAATGAAAACCAATGTTTTAAGCTGCCAAAACGTTAACCGAAACGAAGTTAGAAGGAAACCTGATAGCATTCAAAGCGGTAACAAAAAATTCGAATATTTCATACGTGATCAAATGTCATTCTTGGATCTATCCATTCATTAAGAAGGTAAAAGACGTTGATATTTTTAACGTATAGGGCACCATTAGCACAGCCGGAAATATGGTATTGACTTAGAAATAGGCAGAGTAATAATAAAATTATAAGAATGTTTTCGAACGAAATAGAGCTGGAGAAGACGACACTTCCTATAACAGCGAATAACAATGAAATTTTGAATAAACTAATGCAGCTTTCAATGATGCTGAGATATTTGCAAAACTTCGGACCGCAGGTGTCTGCGGTGAGGAACGAAGGCGCTATTGCCCTTTCCGGAGAGTAACGCGTTCACCACCACACCATGCGGGTTCTTCGTTTCGCCTGCCTCTCAGCTAGTTCTATCGACCTCTTCCATAAGCAATCACCCGTCACCGGGTTTGATCTGGGGAGCCCAAATCGGTTAAGACTGTGCTTATAACTAAAGTCTTAGCTTAACTGGGTTCAATGCGGATTTTTGCTTCCCAGATTAATCCCACTGACGGGTGTTTGCTGATGGCAGAGATATAGAACTAGTTGAGAGACAGGCGAAACGAAGGACCCGCATGGTGTGGTGGTGAACACGTTACTCCCCGGAAAGGACAATAGCGCGTTGCGGTCCGAAGTTTTGCAAATATCTCAGCATCATTGCAGTTATATTTCGCAATATATCCTGCCATAAAAAGATGAGTAGGAAGTAAATAAAACGGTTAATGTCGCCTTATTTATAAATTCAGTCGATATCATTCTGATGTAATTTTCACAAAGAGTTCGCTATCCTATGTTGAAGTGGTATTCAGCGTCGTCCATTATGCACTGCTACTTTTGAAGCATTAATGGTAATAAATTACGAAAACGCTTCGAGAAAGTAACAGACAGCAGTAGAGATAGTAGAGATATGTTTCTGCTGACGAGATCAGCGATGACGGAAAAGCAATTCAACTTTTTACATAGATCTTCGCTAGGAAAGGCCAATATTTTCTATCTTTTGTCGTTCATTGAAATGCTACCGGCGGCAAAAGAAATCTCTGCGGAATGTTTCAGTCTGCGAAGGATTACAATCTCTTCAATTCCATCATAAGCTGAAAACAGTCGAAAAAATTCTTTGTCAAATAAAAATCTGTGCAAATATCTATAAATGAGAAAATTGTCGTCAAAAGGTAGAAGTGATCTTGACAATATTGACGTTGATGGTAGTGCTGGTTGTCGTGGTGGTGATGGCGATGTTGACGATGATGATGATGATGGTGATTGTGAAGATGATGATTATGATGATGATGATGATGATGATGATGATGATAATGATGATGATGATGATGATGGTGATGGGAAAGCTGAAGACAGTGATGATCATAGTGATGGAGGCAATGGTGATGATGTTGGTGATGTGCGTTTGACTGTGAGAATATTATGGGTGGTACGAGAAAACTACTGATGGTGGCGCTAGACAATCTGGCAGCAAAGTATTATAGATGAGGCACGCGTAATGCAGTTGCAGAAAAAACACACACACCGAACGACGGACGATCCTTCAGCAACCATATGCGAAAAAGTAATAGCAGGTAACTGCGACACGACTTATTCGGTGACGAATCGATAATCGATCGCGTTCAAAAACGTGAAAAGACCGGTAACTTCAAGATGCGATCGATAACGCTAAGTTTACAGAGTTTTGCGGTAAATGTGAAATGAAATTACCGTTTGTTTGTGAATTGGACCCCTCTTTACCGTCACCGATCATTCCCTAATTGTGGTTGTAACGGATTTTGTTTTCAGTTTCACAGTAAAGAAATAAAAATAACGAAACAGGGATATAGAAGGTCACCTGAGATTAATGACAAAATGATGAAAGAGAAGAGAAAATTTGAACAATTTCTATTTTATTGAAAACTTTCAATATTTAATGGGTATCTCCATCAAGCACTCCTAAGCCTGTTGCATCATCCTCGATGGGTCGGTTGGTTGACTAACCACGAGAGGCTCTTCTGTTCTGGAAAAATCTCAGTCGCAAAGCAGCGAGCCTCTCTCCGCTCTGACCCACATGGGCGAGCGAATGTCTGCGGTAAACATCTGGAGGCGCCCTAACACGGCTATCTCGGAATTCCGAGGAAAACACACCCAAGCAAAAATCAACATACGAAGAGAAACGGATAAATCGTCAAGCTATTGCCAAACCTAAACGCAAACACAACCACTTTAAATGGGTGACTAAAGTAAGGCAACGGACCGGAATGAAGGAGTATTGATGGGGGTTCATTTATGAGGATGGTCCATCCAAAACATCTAACTGCGTTCTATGAATAGTTAATTAGACGCTAGTGACTTTAATAAAACTGTAGCTTAATGTCTGCCGGCCATTTTCCTTTACCTAACAGTACTGCTTTGACGAACTCCAACCTTGTCGTTTAGATTATCGCTTGCGACAGTTAAACAGCAGTACAAGGATTTCTTTCCTTCAACACAGTTGAGATTAATCATAGTTAGAAAGTAACAAAAACCATCTGCTGAGTCATAAAGGCGGCCTTCAGCATGTAATGGAAATCTGAGCACAAGCGAGCATTCTCTCGGTCGAAGCGACCACTGTAAGGCGAATTTCTCGAGAAGATTGCGTTAAAGATGAAGGAGAAAGCGATTAAGCGTCCAGCGATGATCATTCCCTCAAGAATGCACTATACATTCGACCGCACTTATAACATTGTCAACGTAACTGAATGCGTAATTGATTTATGCGATTTCTTACAGAGACCCGGCAAAACACAAAGTAAGTGTTTTACCTGCCAGTAAAAGACCAGTATCAATTTGCAGACGCCAAAGGAAATGTGATGTTTTTGGATTGCAGACTCAAATAAACTGCGTGAGAATCCTAGCATAAAAAGCAGATTTTCGAAGAGAAGAACTTGAAAAAAATGCGCCAAACTTTTCCAGAGTTTATATATTCATAAAATCTCAAGTTTAACGCAGCTCTCTTTTACCACCACAATATTGCAATTGTTACGGTTTCTGCAGAAACATTGTTTTCGTTCAATACTTGTTCAAATTTGAAAATAAGGTTGACGTTTAAAGAAAAAAAAACCGCTTACTTGATCCATTTGAACGTAGCAGTTTGTTAGCAGTGATTTAGAGTAAAGAGAAGGCGCAAAAAACAACAAGCAATGCCACTTGGTGAAGGTCGTTGAGGGAGGCTGTCCCGTTGCTAATCTGCCTCATTAACGATCGTATATATTACTTGGAATGAAATAATGCCACTTCTTAGCGACGTATGCCACTTCTTATCGACAACGACCTCGACAAATGACACGGCTAAAGAAAAGAATGGCTCATAGATCAGTAGCGCTCCAGGTGGCCGTCGTCGGCGACGGCCACCAAAGAGAGACGGTCACTTCGTGTGAGGGCCGCCGGATGTTGCAAGTTTCAGGAACGTGTTAGCAAAATTGTACGTTATACGCTCTTACTCTGCATAAACTATAAAAAAAAAGGAATTATACAAGAATTTCTTCTACGTCTTAGTGAGGTAAGGTGGCTTAGGCAACAGTTTACAAAGTTTTTTTTAGAAATAGTAACGATTTTGAGCTTCAGTGGCTGGAAGGCCTGAGTGATAGTTCGTCACCCTCCGAGTGAAAGGGTAGCCCAGTGGGCCCTGCTTGCTTCAGAAACTCGTTAAGGATCACATCTTTCTTCTAGAGTTCAAAGCATCTTAACAACGGCAAATCCATTTTCGTATTGAATTATTCTTAAAACAACTCACAAAGAAAAATAGAAGACTGTTTTATTGAGTGCCAGTGACTCAAAATAATCCACATTCTGGATCACCTTCTCTTCCACAGCTGTAAAGTGGTAAATTACTGAGGGGTATCGATATGTAAGTAATTGTGAAATAGTGATGCTACAGTCTTATTAGTTGTCTTAAGAATACGACAGACACATTGTCATCATGTAGAAAATACAACTTTGAAAATTATTACCAAGAACGTTTGTATCTGATAATAGATGAAAATGATCGATAGTGATGTGAAATGTGATTGGCGACGCTGTAGGAGCCCTCCACTCATGGAAGTGAGTCAATTGAAACTAGTCAGTTGCCTTTTATGTTCCAATATTTGCCAACGTCTTAGATCAACGGAGCTAGGTGGTTTCTTTAACATGCAGCCAACCCCAGGTTAACTTGAGCGACGATGTTCCAATACAAGGAGCAAACCGTGTTAAGCAATCGTAAATTTCAAATGACCTTAAATGGATCGTTTATGACTGATTAGTTAACTGTGCCAACATATAAACCCGTTAATTATCTAGTAACTCGAAGTAGCACCACTGAACATGCGGTTCGCCCTTGCGACGTGCTAAAACAGCCCCGTGAACGCCTTTCCTTCAAGAGTTAGGAGCATGCTCGTGATTTCCTGGTTAGTCCATAGGTAGGAGTATTTTTGAAAAAAATATAGCGACAAATATCTTATCCGGCTCTGCGGCGACATATATTTGTTCTTGGATAAGCTCCTTCGTTGAGAATGCCAAAGTTCCTGCAAACTTGAGTGATTCGTCTTTGGTGTTAAAACTTATTCTGTGAGCTCTATCTCGACTTCTTGGCTCAAAAGATGTAATCACAAATTAGGGAATGAACCATATTTGAGAAAATCTGCTGAGTACTCGGGTGATTCAGCGATCACTGTGGCCAGTTGCTAAAATGGAGACAAATGTGCTGAGTGCTATCTTAATCTGCACAAAGACATCATCCATTGGAGTTGAAAAATTCAAAGTCGCTCTACAACTTTAGTTAATGTATCTCAGCTTTTCTTTTTAGTTCACCGCATTGTAGCAAAGAGGTGTTCTTAGAAATCGAGAATTTAGCCCATAAGGACATACATTGGATATCCACTGAAAAATTTCGCTGGAACTAAATTTATGTTACAGCAAAGCTTTGCACACTATTAGTTTCCCAAGAGCGAATGAGGAATTTACTAACGCTGTCCTGAGTCACTCGAAGAAAAGCGGAATTGCCGATTATATAGATATAGATGGAATTTCCAAATCTTTACCACCTCATCGTGGGTGGAAGGTGTTTTTGGATGTGGGGCTGCGATGGTCGAAAGAGATTGATCACCCCAGCAGGGTCTCCAAAGCTGAGAAGGAGTCTGACGTTCTTATCTAAAAGCCTGGCTAAAGCCTAAGCTTGTAAACTAATGCAAGAAACCACTAAAATCCCCTTATCAAATATCCGCATTATGTGAAATTTTTTTCTAATTCACAAGGGCAGCGACTGCTTGAGGTGGTGATGTCTTGAGGAAGGCTTCGACTACGACAACCTCGGGATTCCAGAAAACTATAGTGGGTAAACCTGCAAAACTTCGACCTCAAGACTCCACACACTGGGCGCTCCCTTCTCCGACGTCGGGCGGCGAGGCAACCACTGAGGTCCAAGTTTTGCAAATATCTCAACATCGTAGTGGTTGTTCAACATTAATAGTTCAGTCATAGTTAACATACCAGTTCAAATTTGGCAAGAACGCATGCATTCTCAGTCTTTTCTTTTTCAAGGATGGACAATTAGGCTTTTCTGCTGTCTTACTGTTTTTAATTACATAATGTTGACAAAAGATTTTTATTATAATAGAAGCGTTAATCATTTATAGATAGTTCTCTGCTGTCGTTTACCGACTTCATCTATATTCGCAGTCACTTATGCGCTCCTCACGAGCACGGGCCCAGGGAGTTCCGCTTAAGAAAGATGAAGTGCGTCATATTTCTCGTACTAAACTTAAAAAATTGCTGTTTTTAAAGGGAAAATGCGCACAAATGTGATGACATAGGGTAACGCATTCGGCGTTGATTAATTGCCTATGTATGAGGCATGGAGACGACCACAATCGTGTGGTCATAGATTTGGATTCGATTGGTGCCTCGCCCATGAAACGAATTTCAGTGGCTTATCAATTTGTGAAGTCGGAGATGATATCCTCCTAGACAAGACACAGACACGTGCGTCCACTTTGTCGACCATGGTGTAATGGTGGGCTTCGCGAGCCCGAAGCTCGAGGTCGAACCAGTGAATGCTTGTGTACAGTGCGGCCCCTCAACCCGTAACGCTACACTCGCCACTATAGTTGAGTAGATTTTCCAAGTGGAGATCGGGAATACTGTAGGGATAGCTTGCAAATTCTCTGGGTGGGCGTGCAGCTTATATTGTACTTGACTCCTTACTGCTTCTCATATAATACCTTCCAGACATCTCTAGCAACCGACTTTTATTTCTTAGGACCGACCCTTTTTATCTTCGACGTTTATAAACAATTCACTCTCTTCTCGAGGTGTTTCGGTTAATTTCGATTTTTTCAGAGCCTGGAAAGGTCAAATTGACGTGAGTTCTACTTATTTGAACACTTTCACCATTTTAGAAGATAAAGCCAATTACATAAAATTCGATTTTCTTTTCTTTTTCAGTTT